TCGTTTTACTTTGATATTTACACTTGTTGATTCGTTGATTTAAAACTATTTTTCTTACATTTTATGTATACCAAATTCACTTTAAAATTGTTGTTCATATAATTTTATTTATATCTTGTACAGAGTTTTTCGTGCAGATTTGGTAATTTTATTTTAGTAATTTAGAAAACATTTTTAGTACGGTCTTCCGATACAGTTTATTCTTTTGAAGATATCGACGATTGAACATAAACATAAACATTATAAACATCATTATTTTGAACATTTAGTTTAATTTACAGAAAATATTTTTATAAGTTGGGAATTTACGAAGATCTGAATTAATTGATGCGCATTGGTGATATAGGATAACTAAAATCATATGGTATAATATGAATATAGTTTGTTGTGAATTAAAAAGAATATTAAAAATCATATAGATTATGAAATTATTAAGTTCTAAATAAACATCGAATGAACATTATGTACCACGGAAATGTAACTAACCGTGACATTTATAAACTCGTATTTTTTTTTTTACTCATAGAACGTTTCACAAACTTAAGATATTTTATTTAATGCTAAAAATGTAGAAGGATTTGTTAAAACCAATTTTTGTTGTAAACATTTTAAGTTAAAAGTAGCTCACGAGTAGCTTTGAAATTTATGACGACATGACTTCATGTATAATATAATCGTTATAATATGTATAAATATATAATATAGGCTTTTAGCTTAGATTATAAACTAATTTTAGCTTTAGGTTTATTAACGAAAAAATATTTCAATAGATCGATTAATATATTTTCAATACTTACGAGATGATACGGGGTATTGTTATCTAAATTGCATCATTATTAAAATATTTCAAATACATTCGTTATTTTTCCTGAGTCAATCTACACAAAATAATCTATGTATACTATAAAGAATATGACAAACAATACAACTTAAAATGGGATCATAAACTAATTTTCCACTCATTTTAAACCATAATTTTATCAAGTTTTTTTTTTAAAAATATATTATTATTGAGTCACCGATTAAATTTTTATTTATAAATGTGAGGTAAGTGCAGTTTTAAAGGTAAAAAGAAAATAATTATAATATTTAACAATATAATAAATATATAATATATATTTAAAAATATTTTAAAATATTTTTTAAACCTCTGTACATCAAACGCTAATAAAAATCAATATTGGTTCGACGCAAATGTATTTCATTAACTGTTGTAAGTAGGTATGACATTTTATAGTTTCCATTTTTCACATGAAATATACGTTTATCATATTTGATGTTACTCAAAAGAGTGTTTCGAAGAATAAACAGAAAAAATATTGCGTCGTACTCTAGCGTAAGAAAAGACACACGAAGGATATTGCATTAGGAGAATACGTTTTATAATCTGTATTAAGCGGAAACGTCACAATAAGTCTTTTGAGTGTATATTGGTGGAAATTTTTATATTTATTTGAAACGGGTTTTTTATTTCTTACACATTAAAGCTTTGATATTCGTGTACGCATAACATACGCATTTAACTGTTCATATCACCTCTTGCTACGGGCACACGTCTTAAGATAAAACGCTCGAGTGAATGCACTGTAAGTTTAATAACAACGTGTGTCGTGGCACTGCGAGAACAAAGCAATGAATATAACGAATGTAGAAACGCGGCTACGAATGTTACCTACCACCGAGTTTCACTCTCCAAGTCATACCTATTTTAACTATTATAGTATCCTCGCCACATCATATTTTTTTGTTTATTTATTTATTATTTTTTTTTTTTTTTGATTATTAATCGGTTGATTGTATTAAATTAATTATCTAAAAGTATATTTGAACTTTTTTTTTTCGATTCAGGAACGCGGATCAACACTATTTTACCGTTAATAATGATTAATAACCATGGGTTTTTAATTTGTTATGTTTGTGTACGCGATTTCTACAGAAAAAATGACCTCGAATTCGGCATTCGTGGAAGATTTTATCTGATAGGAAAAGTTATTTAATTTGGTTCTTTGAAAGGGGGGAATATAACTGTTTAAATGTACATGCTAAATACAACATAATTTCTGTCAAATTATTGAATTACGTACAACGACTAATAACAGCCAAATATGTAATTAGTAATTACTAATAACCCTAGTACGTTAGAATGAATATTTTTATATAAAAATATGTGTGTGTGTGTGTGTAGGTGAATTGGAACTTGTTTATAGCATTTATGTAATAATAAAATATTTTCTCCTATTCGCCATAATATTATAAGACAGTTTTCTCACCATATTATTCAAAATTTATTTTCAACATGAAATTGTTTTCTTGAGAAGCATTATCTTGACAACGAACTACGAGGACATGCGCTTCTTGCGCGTTTAGACCCTTGTGACACGAAGTTTTAAAATAAAATAAAAATCCTAATTATTAAAACTTGATTTTTAAGATTCTGAGCGAAACGAGGAATGCATTGATTTTACCATGATGGGGGTTTTTTTTTGTATATACATCCCTGATATTCTCTGATATGTTTCGATCACCACTAAAAAAAAAGTAAAATATAAGATTTAGAAATGTATGGATTATAGATTGTACCTTAAGATGGTAATTTGTTGAATAATTCAACAGTTCCGAATAATTGGGAAAAACGGAGAAAAAAATTCGAAAAACTTAAACTTGAGATCGAGATTCGGATTCCCACCATAAATTGTTTTAGCTACTTTTTCGGTGTATTTGTGTACACGATTTTGGACCGAATAATTACTCTTGGGCGCAACATGAGTTTGTGATAATGATTAATAAAAAAAATAAAACAATTGTGGATAAGTGGACTGTATAATTGAAAAACGAATAGAAAAATCACAGCAGTTGGTATAAATGCATAAAAAAAAATAAATCACAAATGTAGCCTGTTTGGCTCAATAAACAAAAGAAACAAAATGGTAACAATAATGTATTAAATGGATAAATGAAATAAATAAATAAAATAAATGAAATGAGATATGTGGCCCACACGGCGCACACCAAAGAATAAGTATAAATAAATTATGTGCCTATGTCGGCCAATGCAAAATATAATATAAATAAATTATGTGCCAATGTCGGCCAATGCAAAAATATAAACAAATTATGTGCCTATGTCGGCCAATGCAAAAATAATATAATAACGTGCCTTTGACGGCTAGGCCCGTCGGCCCTTAAAACACAAATGAACAAATATGGTCGACCAATACTCACATGTGATGACTGTAATTGGTGGCGGATTTTATACCGCACCAGAACTATGACGACAATTGCCTCAGACGGCACACCGCAGTGTTTAATATTATACAAAATAAAAATGTCACAGTCTGGTACGTGCGACCACCGAATCACAATCACCAACGACGACAGCAAATGTAACAAAAACGTGAATTCAACATAAACTAACAAAAAAAATGAATTTCGGTGTGCACACTACGAAGACAGAAAAAACACGAGCGAATCGGTGCCGACGACATTTACCACGAAGGCTCTGGCCGCCGGACACCACAATGAAGATAAAAGGCCTCAGTGCCACCACACAAAACTGAAAAACACTTGAAATTGATGAATTTTGTGGCACTGAGAGCATGACTTTACTTTTACAACAAACATAACCGACAATTTTTGAAAACGTGGATAACAATCATTCACGCGCGACGATAACAGCGCGATAACGTATCCGGCCGGTCGCACACGGAGGCTTATCGCCGCCGCCGACGAGGCTGCGAACACGCAACGCACCACTATGTATCGCACGTAAATGATGACATGAACAAATTTAACAACAGATAATTTTGACGCGAAATTCAAAAAAACAATACATACAGCGCGAACAATAATCATAAGAGATTTTTGATAGGAAATGTTGTTTTTTGGTGCCTACTTTTAAGAGATAATTTTAAAAATATTTCAATAGTAATTTTAAACGAAAACCTGCTACTTTTTTGACAACTTTTGAAAACAATTTAAATGTTTAAACTTATAGCTTTAATACTGGAGAAAAAATGTTTCATAAGATTTTCTTTGAGACGAGAAAAAAATGAAAATACATTGGAGTCGCAAAAATGATTTATTAGTACCTATTACAAAATAAAATACGACAGTATCAGGTATTTCAACGAATTTCCAATAAAGAATATAAGTCATTTAGTTAAAAACATTTTATAGTTTATAAATATTTCAATGATATTTTTGTTGTTTATAAGATATTAAAATTTTCGATTTTCCCATATTGTATTGAACAATTTAGAACATTAAAAGTTCATAATATTTTATAACTTTGGTTCTTTTACTATATCAATCATCTTTAGAAATGTAAACTAATTCACTCGACCACTTTCATCCAGAATCGATTTTTTGAGATCAATGGTACATTGGTTATAAGGTTAAAAGAATAATACTGCAATACCAATCATCTACCCCTGTACCATACCTAACCGTGGACTCTCATCCAACCCAAGCAGGCGCGGATTCAGAGGGGGGGCTATGGGTGCTCGGGCACCCCCTGTCGCCTTGGCCACCAACAAAATAAATTTATATTATAAATTATATTATTTCTTATTTTTCAAAATAAAAATAATAATAATAATAATAATAAATAATATCGGTTATTCCGTTATCGTCGTCACATACGACAGTAATAACACTAATAACTATTAGTTGTTATCTTATATACTCGTATGAAACGACATGCGACGTCGGTGGAAAGCACCGATAGTTATTACAATATTACCCATTAAATCGCTATTCGGCATTCGCTGTTAATGTGTCTCGATTAGTTTGCTCGTGTTTGCCTGACGAATAATATACAAGTATAACACGGTTTCTTTTTTTTTTATTATTACTCCCTGTTTTCGTACATACTTAATTTTTAAAATATATACGTGTATATTTTATACAACTATTTTACGATATCGGGTACTAAAAATGACTCTGAATTGACTGAATCTCACAAAAAACGTGATCGTTCTGTCAGTACGCAGAGATCATTAATGTCATATTTTTCAAAGAAAACTCGTTCCAATGAATTTCAAGATCGATCTGAAGCTGAACATTCTGAAGTAAATAATGAAGAAAATGTAAGTTCTACTAGTACTAGTAATGATAATTCAGCACCTGTCGATGATAGCTATAATTTTGCAGAGTTACAAAATGTTGTTGACAATAATGTACAAAAAAAATATATTTTTTGATGCATTAGATATTGGTAACTTTATTGACAATCAAAGTTCAAAGTTAAATGATAATAAAAAATATTTTGCATTGACAAAAACATGGAGGCCGAATATTTTATATAACTTTCCCAAAGATAAAGATTCAAGAAAATTTCAATTAAAGTGGCTTAACGATTTTCCGTAGTTATCTTATAGTCAAAAACACAAAGGAGTTTATTGTAGAACTTGTGTGTTATTTTCTCGTGATGTAGGGGGGGAGAAGTAAAGAAAATTTTGGTCAATCATGTACAAAATCATTAAACAAGTATAAAAAAGCTTTAGAAGTATTTAAAAAACATTCAAATAACGATTATCATAAATTTTCAGTCCTCAAAGCGGATGATTTTAAAAATGTTGTAGAATCTGCTGAAAAGTCTGTAGTAGTTAAATTAAATTTAAATGTTCAAAAGCAAATTGAAGAAAATCAAAAAAAAACTTATCCCTATAATCAATACAATTTTTTTTTGTGGTCGTCAAAACTTTCCGTTGCGTGGGCATCGTGACGATGGAGATTTGATTCAAAATAGTGTAAACAATGAAGGGAATTTTAGAGAGCTTTTGAAATTTCGTATAGATTCAGGTGATGATGTTTTGAAGAATCATCTTCAGTATTGTCCAAAAAATGCTAGTTTTATTAGTAAAACTACACAGAACGATTTAATCGATTGTTGTGCTAGTGTAATTCTTCATAAAATTGTAAATGCCATTAAAGAATCAAAATATTTCTCAATACTAGTTGATGAAACTTTCAACATAAGTACAAGTGAACAGTTAGTTTTGTGCATTCGCTATGTTTTTCATGATAAAGTGCAAGAAGATTTCTTAAAATTAGTTATTGTTGAAAATACATCTGGTTTAAATCTTTCCAAAATAATACTACACCAATTAGATGACTTAGATCTTAATATAAAATATTTGCGTGGTCAAGGCTATGACGGAGGTGCTAATATGTCCGGAAAATATCAAAGCATTCAAGCTCAAATACTAAAAATTCAGCATCTTGCATTATATACACATTGTGCTTCACATTGTTTAAATTTAAGTATATCAAAAGCGTGTTCTGTAGTTTTGATCCGGAATGTTTGTTGATAATATACAAGAGATTATAACTTTTTTCCGAGCTTCACCAAAACGAATGTTACTTTTAAAAACTACATTAATGAAAGTTTTACCAAATTCTAAATCATTTAGACTTAAATCTGTATGTGAAACACGCTGGATCGAACGACACGATGCAATTCTTCAATTTCTTGAATTATACGATGTTATTATAAATTGCTTGGATGAACTTGTAAATTCTAATGAGGAAATTGCGCTCACTTCTAGTAAAGCTAATAATTTACTAAATTCTATGTTGAAATTTTAATTTTTAATTACACTTTAAGTTTTGGCAGAATTATTTTCAATTACTTTGCCTCTTTCAAAGCAACTGCAAAATCAAAATGTAGAATATTTTCAATCATTGAAAATGGTTAAAACTATTAAAGACGAGTTCGAAAATAAAAGAAAGAACGATATTCAAAGTTTTAACTTAATTTATACCAAATCATTAACATCAGCCGATATACATAAGATAGAAGTTAAAAAACCTCGAACGTGTTCAAAACAAATTAATCGCGAAAATATATTGGCCAACGATCCAAAAGAATATTTTCGTTTGACCTTATACCTACCATTTTTGGGTTATTTAATATCAGATATCAAAAATAGATTTGTAGGTCACGGACACGAAATGATTATGTATTTACAATACTTAATACCATTTTTCCTACATGAAGATACAGATATCGAAAAAATTATTGAATCGGCCAAATTTTATATCGATGATCTAATTGGCTCGATTGAAGAGGTTAGAGGTGAAGTTACTTTGTGGAAACAATTTTGGAAATCCCAATTAGATAAACCTAAAACTGCTATAGAAGCTTTGACTCATGCATCTGAATTTTATCCTAATATAAAGGAATTGCTAAAAATTATTTGCGTTATACCAGTTACCACTTGCACCGCAGAAAGAACATTTTCCTCACTTCGACGAACAAAAACATATTTAAGATCAACAATAGGAGAGGATAGATTAAATGGACTTATGCTTCTTAATATTCATAGGAATATTAAAATTACTCCAGAGGAAGTTATTGAAGAATTCAGTAAAAAACACCCAAGAAAATTACAGTTACAATATATGTAAGAAATTATTGTTATTTTTAAGTTTATATTTAATGAATACTGATGTATGAAAAAAAAGTTAGCACCAATAAATCAAATAGAAAATATTAATTTAAATAAATAGAAAGGTGTAACAATCTTTTTTTTTTGAGCACCCCCTTTCAAAATTTTCTGGATCCGCGCCTGAACCCAAGATTTTCGTCTTGATTTTTTAGCTAAAAATTCATAAAATAATCAACTTATATATGATACTTAAGGCTTGGTTAGGTTATTTATGTTATGTATGTTATGTTTATAAATGATTTTTTGTGAAATTTTAAATTAATGAATGCAATTTTATCGAGAACCATGTCAAATTATTAAAGAAGGAAAACGGATAAAAACATTTTATAGAATTTCCGGTAAGAGACAAATTTGCTGTCTCGGGCTATTCGTTGAGATTCATTTTCTAAGGATTATTCAGAAATACTTACGATGGCTTCGAGCTGCTGCAAAATATGTAAGTTAATCGAAAGACAGATCAAATTGATATAATTACAACGGGTACATTCGGGTAATCGCTAACTGAGAACACTTAATATCTTTGCATAGAGCCCTGCAATTTGAATTCTGATTTTTTTGTTGGTTTTTATGACTTAAAAATGTGTATTTTTACGAGTTTTTAATTTTTTTTTACTTAAATAGACATGAGCATGTGCAGTATAACATTTTTTTCTTAAATGGCAACCATCTATTTTAACTACTAATTATTTTTTGTCTATTTTCTTAATGAATTTTAATATTTTTCTATTCTAATTATAATTCAATATAAAATATTCTTAAATAAGATTTTTCTGCTTTTTCATTATCATTAATGTTAATTAAGATCTGTTGTAAATTGTTAATATATATATCATTTATATCATTGCTTAATGTAATTTTTTTTCTTTTTTGTGATTAACTTAACTTAGGTATTAATTGAAGTTAAATTAAGATAACGATATTTTTTAACTTAATTGATGTAATTCTCAAGTGAATTAACTTAATTTAATATGAACTCAATTAACTTAACTTACCTGATTTAAAAAATATCATTAACTTGCTGGGTGTGCAAGTATATATATAAATACACAGTGGCCGAACTAGGAAGAGGAAGACGGGGATACATATTTGGGCGTAACATATTAAAGGGTGTAATTTTTATAATGTATAATCTATAATTGACTACTAGTTTAATATTTTTAACTTTTTTAATGATAATATGTGTAAAACCAACTTGTCACCAACTAATGAGCAATTCAATGAATTCAATGATAGGTTTGGTACCTACTGTTGATATTCTAAGCACTAACAAAAGTTTACTATTCATACTATTCAATTGATACCGTTTCTGATAGAGGAGGTGGTATATTATCCTACTGAACCAACGCACAAATTTATTTGAAAGTTAGGTTCTTTTATACTTTGAAACTTGGGTCCACCAAAATTATGCAACGGCACACGATTACAAATAAAATCTTTAAAAAACTGTCCGCTAAAGTATACGATTATTACTGGCTATAATTAAATTGTATAGTTGTAATATAATTTAATACAATTACGAAGATTAATTATCGTCTTATGTCGACATTTAAATCGCATCGACTTAAGCTAAAACAGTTTGAATATTAGATATTTTTAAATAAAAATATAACTAACCAAAAGAACATTTGATTATTTCTTTGAAGAACACAAACATTAAACCAAACCAGTAAAAAATTGCCGATTATTATTTTAATGAAAATTGAAAAATATGATTTATACAGTACCTACATTGTTTTTTTAATAGAATACTTTATTCAATATACATTTTTCAAAATAATTATCACTTGACAATAATCTAGCTATCACGAATTGATCAATTTTTATTCAATTACAGTAATCTATACAATTTTGAATGTAAAATAGAGAGTACGAAATTAAGAAGAGTTTCAAAAAATCTTCAAGAACACAAGAAAACTGTATATTATTGTACACAGTTGTAAAACAACGGGTATTGTAAAAATGTAATATTGTGCAATGGTTTGATAATATAATGTTCGGAATTAACATTAGTACTATGTGCCTATGTGTAAAATGATATATGTTCTATGTTTAGAAACCTAATATATATATTAGGTTTATATATATATATATATATATATATATATATATATATATATTATATATATTGTACCAGTTAGTAATACAGTATTTATATTATTTATTTGCATAAGATAATATTTGTAGGATAAGAAATTTTTTTTAAAAATTTTGCATAAAAATTAACATTTATTGTATTAATAATAATAATAATAACAAAATATAATACACTCATATATATTATAAATAATATATATATTATTTATAATCAAAAATTCTAAATTCAAAATATAATTAGTGTGCCCGATTTTAAAACAAAACAGACACAGGTTTTTTCATGTGTGTGAGGGTGTGTATGTGTGTGTGTGTGTGTGTGTGTGTACATAGATATACTTAAACTTTGGAGTATAGTCAGAGTGAATATAATATAATTTAATTTATAAATCATTCGAAAATATACAATAAAAAAAAAATTAATATAAAATTGACATACATTTCTTGCACTCATAGTACTTTTTTTTTAATTTTTAAACAAACATTTGTGCATGACAAAGGTATATCATAAACATACACGAGGACAATAAACAAGTATTATAATGTTAAAATTGTAATATAAATGTTAGGTGCGTATGATTTTTTTAAGTAAACTACCGTTATACTTACATTTAATACAGTTTAAATAACTGTAATAATACTATAATAGTCTATTACAATCAACGATATAATATTAACTAGATTTTATTATTATGTAATTTTTCCTCTTCCCAATAAATTTCCAATAAAAAAATTGAAGAATAGTTAAAAAAAAAAAAATCATCCGACTCAAATATCATATTATTATTAATGTTATAAAGTATAAATGTTAGTTATTCGGGTTATTTTTTACTCTATAAATAAATGCTTATACAGCTGTATTCAAATAATGAGTAATAGGACGTTTATTTCACAGAATATATATATTTTAAGAGTATTACTATTCAAAATTTAATGTTTTAAAAACAAAAAAATAGTGAATTATAGTAGTTTTTAAAATTTTGGATATTATAATGGTGGTAATTTCTGTATAATTAAAAATTAAGATTAATAAATCAATACAATTTCAATTTTTTTTTAGCTCTAGCATGAAAATGATAATACTATTTTACTTAGATTTCTACACCTATGAACACTTAAAAAAACCTTTGACATAAAGTATGTTTTTTAAAGTATTTACAATTTTTATAGGATACATTTTATAGTCAACAGTTAGCCAGTTAAATAAATTACTTAACATAAAATTGGGTAGTTATGCTATTATGTGCATGGACACAAACAAATAATCATTATCAGGCAATGTTTAGTATCAAATACGTAATTGTTACAACGTCAAATATTAGAATGCTTTGGTATATGCTTTACATAATAATATTATTAGCTCTTAACAATGATGGTATAATTAAAAAAATAGAAATAGATAATAATAAATTTACATTATTAATACTAATTTTAGTAGGTAATTACAATAAATAACGATTAATTTTCTCATCGTTTCGTAAATAATAATTATGTAATATGTAATACTTTGGTATCGCGTTGCATTATATTATCTTCATTATATGAAATGGAATATTGTTAATCGCCAGTGGCCTAAAGGTATTCGAAGTAATATCCACTGCAATCAATGGTTTGTTTTTCAACAATATGAGTAAACAAGTAATGATTCTACCTTAGTCTCAAATGATGAACTCTAAAAAAAAGAAAAAAAAAATTAAAACATTAACATTTTTAATTAAAAAGGGTCTCAAGTCAATGATAAATATACACCGCAATATTTTCAATAAGTTTTTATTTTAAACCAATGTAATCAGTGATTTATGAAGCAGCTGATCATCATTTAGATTTTAGAAATGTATTAATTTTTATTTGAATAACAAACAGATAAAAGTTCTTTAACAAAAACACTTTAATAATTATTAGTATATAGACATAAAAAAAAAAGTTTATATAAATATAAATAAAATATAATATGCATATATAGAAATAGGATATCTAACCATAAAAATAAAAATGTCATAGCATTTAAACAAATTACACAATAAAACAAGATTTCGCCTTTTATGAAATGGATTTATGAAATTATTGGAATAAAATATAAGCCTTGTGTTCATATTGTTCGACTATGTGAATAGTACCCATACCTTTAAATCGTTGATGCATTGGGGTTGGTGGTGTAATTTTTTAACAATTCCCTCAACCTAAGAATTTCTTTTGACGCAGACGTCAATTCCGACTGCAGTACCAGTTCTTTTTCTCGAAGCCTTTTTATTTCGTGTTGACAACTCTGAAAATAAGTGGAAAAAAATTGTAACAGTAAAAAATATTTTTGAGGAAGGTGATACAAAGTTAGGTAAAAGAAAATAGAGTGACCAAAACTTGATGACGGCACACTTACCACGTTCTGTCTTAACAGCTCCAGCTTGTCACACTTCAACCTAGTGACATCCTGTCGGAGACCTTCCACCCGGGAATCGTTGTTCTGCGCGTCACAGCACAAACTACAAGGTTTTCCGCTAGGTGTTTCAGCAGAGGACATGCTTTCCAAACCGGTATCACTGTCTACTGCACCGGCCATGCCTAAGCCATCGAGTTCGACGCTGTTAAGCGACGACGAATCGCTTTCCGACATTGCTACGCGGCTAGCTCCACTGCGAAGGAAAATTACGAATTATATCAATAAACGAATCAGAAAGATATAATTCGCTATACTACAGTTCGGAGATCTACCTGGAAGTTCTGTGTACCGGATGAGTGTCAGGACTGGATATGGGTGATGAAGGTGAACTCTTTTTACTACCTTTGGACAACGTTCTGCCAAACTGGAAGAAACACATGTATATTATAAAATGCAATGTTGTAAAACACATGCACAAAAGAATGGATAAACGAATACTGCAATTTTTTTTTACTCACAGTAGGTATAGATCCGTCTGCTGAACAACTGCTGGTCTTTTTGGAAAGACCTCCCAATATGTTATTATTTGCTTCGGCGTTCGTCAGCGTTTGCGTCTTGACTCTTGCTATAAGAGCTTTACGTACCGTATCTATGAACCTGCTACCGGCCCCCGAAATGGTACCGTTACCGCATTCCGATGATGACGACGATGAAGCTGCCGATTTCGTCAGCTCAGTGTTCAAGCCACTTGTACTGCTCCCACTGCCATCTCCATTGTACCCCAAAAAATCTTTAGTCTTGTCTTTCAGCTCCTCGCATAAAGAGTGCAACAACGAAGTTCGAGTTCTTAGCTACATAAATCGAACAGTTTAGTTAACACATGATCGGTAAAAACTACGATGAAGACGTAACGTCACCGTGAGAAAGACTTACCTCCAACTTGGCAAATTTGTGTGCTTTATAACACGCGTTTTCCGCGTTAACCAGCTTGGTGAGGAGGAACTGTTTTAATTCTGGACCATGCCTAAACACGGCTGGATTAGGCAACGTCGGTCCGAAGAATGGTACATCGTCTCGAGCAGTTACGCTAACTTTATACCTGTGCACGAAAAAGAAAACAATAATTGTTAGAATACTCATATAATATTATACATATTATTACAATATTATTCCAAGTATAGTTGGACACCACACATACCTAACGTTGGGAGTGTTCGGCTCGATCACTTGAACGATGATATACGCGTGTAGGAAATGTGACGCTATCATGTCAGGCGTAAACGGAGTGTTGGATTCTTGAAATACAATAGCTACGATGTCATTACCTATATAAAAAAAATAATACTAATTATTTATGTATTTTTGCTTACAATCTATGTACAATCTACATTATTATGATAAACTCTGATCAATTGACAGCAGCTTTATATTCGTAGACTTACCGATATGCCTTTTCCTTTGCAATTGTTGAGGATCGTGTTCAGTGTATGGTAGCAAAGAAGATACGTGGAATATAATCTCTCTGTCTTTGAATACTTGGTAAACGGCTTCGTCACCAGTTTGACCAAACTGCGTGTCTAAGCCTCCTCGGTATCTATCGGAATCGAACGATAAACGGTTATCGTAGAATATTCCCAAATCTTGTAACATAAAAATTAAGGCGCTCCCATCGAATGTACTACATACCCTTTATGGTCTTTCAGCTGTATTCGTTGACCGAGCAGCTGGAGGAACTGATCGAATGCAGGTGAGGTATGTTGATTGGAAAATAATTCTTCTTCGCTAGTCTGGCCATACTTTTGGTACAATACACCGAATTTAAAATGCGACACAAGCACGTGTTCGTCATAGGCCGCAATCAGTTCCGATGCTTTACAACTCAATACGGGAGACAGTTTGGTAATAGTAAGCTGATCGTTCAACAGCTAAAAATTCGGAAAACAATAGTGAAAATCACATTTTTTATTTATTTATTTTTTTTATATAAATTAGAATCAGAAGTTTGAAATAGGTATTTCATTATTGAACAGTGTGCAAAACAATACACAGAATATCATCCATATTTTATACAAGTATTTTAATAAAACTTCATATTATTTTATAACGAGAATAAGCATTTAACTTTATCTATAATTGAAATTAAAATAAACACTTAAATTCCACTTTTTATTATTTCTGATTTCTTAAAAATAAAAAGTAGAAAAAATATTAATACATTAAATACATTAAAATTAATACTTAACCGATTTATCAGCTTGATTAAAGATACATTATTTTAAGATTAAATAAATTTTAAATAAGTAAAAATAAGAAATTACGAAGGTCACCATAAAAAAAAAATAAGTACAATTTGTCTAAATAACGAGGAGAGAATAATTGTTTGGCTTACTAACGAAAATGATCTTAGACAAAACAACCATATGTATGACGTAAAAACAAGTTTGAAAAATAAATTATTATGAAATAAGGTGCAACAAAACGCTTAGTGGTATTTACACGAATTTATTAAAATGCATAATGATCTACATAAGCATATAATTATTTTGTGCCAGCCAAAATCAGTGGTTTCAAGTCCAATAAATGAAAACAAAATCTAAAAAGAAGTCAGAATACGAATGGGTACTTCTCGGTTTATAGTATTAATTATATACATCGAGTACCTACTAAAATTCAGTAATGAAATAAAAACACTCGAATAAGAGTATACACATTATTATTATTATTATTATTATTAAAATGCGTCTTGCAGTATCAGATATAGTCTGGACTATTTTTATCCAGGCCAATGCAGAGATCCAATGATGTTTATATTATGATATTTATTGTGTTTCCGTCCATGGGCTAGTCGCCAACTATCTTAGTACTATTTTTTATACACTATTATTATCATTGTTATTGCACTATCGAATAAAGTTGGAATTCAAAACTTAACTATCTACCCATAATATGGGTATGAGTATGGGACGATAATATTGAATCCTTATAAACTTAATTACATTTAGCCGTCTAAATAATGTACTGTCTTACTTTTTGATATATTTATCTTATAAGTTTTTAATGAATTGTTCCACAAAGGAACTTGCAATAAAGTGAGATCACTCCCCTCTAGACGTTAATTTAATGATGCATCTTTTATTTATAAAATGTTAATAATATTCAGTATCTCAAAATACATGAAAAAATTGGTTTGTCAATTCCAACTTTTTATACGAGATCAAAAACTGTTTTTTATGAGTCATTCAAGAGTCAGTTTATATAGATATAATTTTAATAAACCCAAAAGTCATATGCTTCGGGTTTTCCAACAGCCTCGATAGATTCTACTTTAATTTCTATTATGAATTTAAAATTCGTAATTTATGTTTGAATTTAAATTTGTTTATATAAATTTCATTTTTAATTTTAATTTATAATTACAATAATTATTTTATTTTCTTATAATATATTACCTTTATATTTAGTAGCGAAACTGTATTATTATATTTAAAAATCTATTTTGTATTACTAATCATAATATTAAGTTAAATCAAAGGCGCATTAAAACTTACTTCTAGAGGGAGGGGCTTAAATTTGTTCTTTTATTCAGGCTCAAAATTTACAAGTAAAATTATTGGTAATATTTAAATCAGGTGAATCCTTAGTATTTTTTATTTTTATTTTTTTTTAATCTAATGCCGGATCCACTTAGAATCGAATTTTATGTAGTTATTTTTAACACCTGTATGTGTTTTGAAAGTTATGCTTATTTGATTTTTCACTAAGTATGCACCCGACAAAAAAACCCAATTCAGTATTAACAGCCACGCGTAATTTGATTTCGTTATAAATTAATCTTATTAAATTATCTTATTTACATTAAAAAAAATTTGAAATGTGTACCTCATATATCATCGATTCCTTAAATACGGATTCAGGGGGGATTGCTACCTTCGTATCCCTAAAATACGCCCCTAAATTAACTATATACTGAATTCTATGTACACTCTCTTACCTTCGAGCGTAAATAAATAAAAATAATATAATGATGAAGAATAATTGTTTTGGAAAAACTTTAAGTTTTTTATTCAAAACCTATAATGACTTAAAAGAAATAATCGTTAATAAAAGATGATCGTGAAAAGATTTTCGTTGAATTGTAGGATATCAATTCTTTGCAACGCATTTTACCAACCGATTGATTTTATCTTGATACAAACTTTTTCACCTCAAATACTTCAATTTAGACTTTATAGCCTATTTCTAACTTGAAAGTGGTGGGATAGAACTTTTAAAACAATTTAAGAAGAAGCAATGCTCGCGGAAGACCTTGACCTCCACGGGAATTCAGTTTTCAGTTTAATTTTTTAGAAAAATTGTAAGAAAAATTAATTTCAATTTTACAACACTAGGTGATTATTTAAAAATTCCTACATAAATTAAATGATATTGTATTGGTAAAAATATAGTCCAACTCAATAAAATGAAGTATCATGTCATTTCGTTACAGGAATCATGTATTTTTAATGATTTATTGGCATGTGTGTCACTAGTGAGTATGTATATATAACATATATTTATTAAAAAATAATGTAACGGCGACGTTCATTAATTTTTACCTCAACATCGCGGTTTGGTGGATTTTTTTCAGTTACTATTTTCACAAAATAACTGTTCATTTTAGAAAAAATGAATATAGACATAGAAAAATAATCACGTCTTTCGCGACTATATATTGTTAACTATTAATGGGTATTCATACTGAAAATATCTTAAAGATGAGACTAAAAGTACCGAGTACTCCATACGCGGACCTTTGTATCAGAATAATATGCTATGTTGTACTATGAATGAGCTTCATTAAACTTCAAATTCTTAATTATACCTATTATCGTTCCCGTTTATTTTCTAATAATGTATACAACGCGGTATATTGTCAAATAACAAATGTTTAACTAACCTTAGCCATGTGATGAGGTGCCGATGTGGCGCAAGTTGAAGGCACCAATTCATGCGTGGTGCCAGTCCGTAGTCGTAGCAAAAGTCGCGTTTGCTCCTGGGAAGCTAGGCTTTCCGATTTTACGCTCAATAGAACCGGTCCTAGTTGATCATCCGTGCCGATGAAGTTGAAGTGTTCCTGAAACAGAAGACAAATAAAAGATGAGTTACGAATACACGTAATTTTTGGCCATGGCCGTGGCCAGATCATAATACAAATCAGTTTCATATAATCGATTATGTCCGGATGGATTTTAGTGTACAAGAAACTATAACTATATAATATAACTAGACACGGCCAGCACATTTTAGACTCATAAAATCTACAGAGAGTACGAAAGAGAGAAAGAGAGAAACAATGAAATATTATTTTGTACACGAGCCAATCAATATAGACTGCTATAGCTGACACACGATATCATGGGTATTTCGCAAATCTACGTTTCATAATATTTTTGTGTAAAAACTTTGATTGCATATGTATTTAGATAAAAGTACTATATACATATACATAGGTGTTCATAAAAATATCGTCCTTGAAGCGTCACATCGACATTGTGGACTTTATGGGCATCTAATATAAATATACATAGGAATACCTAGTCGCTAAAATACAACCGGTTCTAATGAGTCACGCATTACAGTGGTGATGTTTACATGTAGTAGCAGGTATCTACAATAATAATATAAATTGTGAACATTTAATATTATTGCACGACTGAATGCCAACGCGGACAACCCGAATCGAAGAAACATCCGGTCCATTGTTGACCATATAGTATACATATACATTTAAAGACTGTGCCAACTATTTTCTGGGGCTAACGGCATCGAAAGCTACTACGCGATACGGTCGTTTTCCTGGTCTTTAGCTATTAAATCGAGTAAATCGAATTCATGGAATCATAAGAACCTAAAAACTACTAATGTTTTATTTATAAATGCGCGACGATTTTGTAATATTTGTTTTTCCAGTGTTTAAAATATTGTAACATTATATACATAGTAAACAACGAACAATATATTATATAACGCGCGGTGGTGAACACAAAAAATAATGTCGGATAAAAATAACTGTTATATTTTTGTATTTTTTTGCACTCCGGTTTCTATTGCTAGGTTTTTGTACCGGATCATCGATTTTAACAAACCAAGAGAACGCATTCACTCATAACATTCACCTATTTCTTAGCATTAAATTTATGATTGTATGCTCTTTTATGAAAAATCTTGTTTTGGCATGAATGACAGTAGGAATATAAAAGAATATTGTAACTATTATGAATAAATAAGTGGGTACATAAATTTACACAACAGATACAAAAAATATAAGTGCGTTTTATTAAACTTAAAGATGAGTATATATCAATTTATTTTCTATGTGAATAAATATAGTAAAATGTACGAACAACTTATCTACTTCATAATTTTTTTACTGTCGTAACATAATTAAAAGTCACGCTCAATTCAATTTGACGAACTTTTTCATGTAATTTAATATAATGAAAAACTATATATATCTTTGTTAAAACCGATCTAAAAACAAAATGTGGATTGTATTTTACTACAAAAATTGCAGACATTTAAATTTAAATTAAATTCGCTATAGCAAATCTAATAAAAAAACATATTTTTTTGACATTTAGAAAATTGGTTGTTAATTTATTATAAATTATTTATATTAAGGTAAAAAATATAATATACGTATTATACAATGTAAATAAGTATAACTCATATTTAACCAACTAGTATTAAGGTTTGTTTACACTAAATTATTGGGAATACTGGTTTATAATAATATTCAATAAATTAAAAACCATGCATATAATACGTTATCATCGTAGCATCATTGTTTTCTTCTTTACTATTTATGAAAAATAGGTAAATTAAATTGAAATTTACAAGATAAACTACTACAGGTGGTTTTTTCTTATACATAATAAGTATGAACATAATACATTTAAATATTTAGTAAAATTAAAAGAGATTAAAATTAGTGTCCATATATATAGGTGTAAGGTAAGTTGGCTGGTAAAGCCTTATCCCCACCTCTACGTGGTGATAGCTGGTAACGGGACTAACTTTCGTTTAACAGGGGAGGTACAGAAAAAAAACTGTATAAAACCAATCACCGGCGGGTCAACAATACCGACCAAAGAAGGCCAACATCGCCCTCAAACAACGACGCAACAGCCGAATGATCTCACATTAGGGTGAGGACCAATATAAGGACACTTTATCGGCATCCCTTCATGTTCCTCACTATCCTCATCCGAAACGGCCCCACAACGGTAGGCCGATAGTAGCAGGGCATTAGTAGGACACCCACATTACGGTTGATCACCGTCCGAATGATTGAGGCTAGGAATGGGCACACGGACGAGACAGTCGCAGAGTGCCACCTTCTGATGACCTCACCAAGACCGATCAGCAAAGCAGCAATAGGATGGAGAACGACAAAACCGGAACGAAGATAGAATTGAATCAGAACGAGGATCTAGTTGGGGTTGGTAACGAGCCAGGTCGAGAAAACTTCGAACGTTACTTCAAGTCTCGAGCAACATTGCCGCGATGTGGAATCAAAACACACGCAAACTGGCCTTCAGCAACACCGATTCAAGACCAATACAAAAATTTAAATGTTTGCCCACAAGGGACACATGCCTTTTTTAACTAACAATGTCTAACTAATTTAAATGTGCATCCTCCAAGGGACATAACTCTGACGTTTGTAAATTGTATAATATCTATGTAATGTAATGTATTTAATAAACGGTGTCGTCAATGGGGAAGTATTGGGAAACCTATTCCCCCAATGCTGTCGGTTCAAACAGAAAAAAAAAGATTTAAGGCAAGTTATAATTATTGTTGTGTTAAAAAAATAACAGTAATTATCTCATAGAGCTATATTGAGTTCCAATAAAATATTTCTGGGAGTGTATATGTATACTTGATTGTAATATTTTTAATTATTATTTTCGGACAATAAAAGTGAATTCATAAATAATAAAAAACTTTTAATAACTTATTAAACAAATCCCGAACGTTAGCGTGTATATATATACTAAGTACATAAAAACAAATTCAAATTTCTTGACGACTGAGTAAATGACGTACTAATTGTATTTTATAATGACTTTCTGTACACAAACATACTTAAAATACACAGTCTTATAAATATAAACAAAACATATGCAGCGTATAAAGTTATTTCGTGGTTAAAAAAACCTATAAACCAATCGTTGGAAATTGTACGTAGAGTACAAAAGTAAACAAAAGACATTAGTCCACAAACATAATTATTTCTTGCATCGCAAGTTCATATTATATTTTAGTGTAAGAATAGTCGTTTTCCTGTTAATATTACGACAGTTTTTCTTTGTGACGTTATAGAAACAATCGAGGCAGAGAAGTGTTCACAAGTGGCAAACACTAAAGAGGATATTATTATTATACTATAGTTACGTTACTTATTGTGTATTACCTGTGGCTATACCATTATACCAATAGTAAAACGATTTCGCACTAACCAACAATGTCGCAAACGAAACCTCATTATTATAACGGGGTTGTAAAAGCACTACTTGGATGATCACAAAACAATGAAATAGTATAATAATTCAAAGGAAATTTTTATTTGAATTTAGAAGTACTCTTATAACAATAAATAGTTTAAACTCGAAAGGTAAATATATATAAGTATTTATTTAAAAGAAGGGAGAAAACAACGGGACAACCGTTATAAATTTGTGACTGTTAAGGAATAACTTTTGGTTCGTTTATTAGCACTGTATTATATAAATGAAGAAAAAACAGTTAAATGCAAATCATAAAAGGGAATCGCGGTTTTTTTATTTCAGCCATAAAATCGGTATTTAGCAGTAATACCGTTAAGAGGAAATTCGGTAGAAACTGTAAATAATAGGTAGTTACATATATACGTACCACTCTACATATATTTTGTACTATTTTATAGGCTATACGTAAATACACACGAAATATATACAGTCGAATTATCGTCGAGGGCGACTAACAATATACAACTAAATTCACTTTGAAACTACATTATTTTACCAACATTTTTTATGTAGGTATATATTTTAATTGAAATTTACAAAAAAAAAAAATAATAATAATAAAAAAAAAAACCATTGTTGAGGGAAGGTTGTTAAGGATATGGTGTTTCACGATCGATACGACGATAAATGTTGCAAACGACAACGGTATTTACGCGTACGTGACGTCACCAAAACGTCGAATAGGGACAAATGAACATAACCGTTTGGACGTGGAGACAAATGGACGTAAAAAAAAAATAAATATTTATAAGTTATAAAACCACTGATATTTTATGTTAATAATATAATTAATGGTATCGTATCATAATATCAAACCTTATCGAATTTTATCGTTTTGGCAATAGATATCTTTTATATCAATATATATAACTTAATGGTTTTTACAACTTGTAATAATTATCACACTTTATCGAAACACGGAGATACACAAGACACGACAATACACATCTATAACTGTGTTAGTGTAAAAATATAAATAACTTATTTATTTTATTTACTTATTTATATATATATATATTTTACGTCCATTTGTCACCACGTCCAAACGGCCACGTCCAAACGGCTACGTCCATTTGTCCTAGATCCTTAAAACGTAAATATTTAACAACGCACATATCGGTCGTTTAAAACTATAATAATGAAATAAAAAATATATACAATTATTACATACAAGCGTATATCACTATTTTTTTTTCTATAATCATAAGTAATTTTTTTTAAAACGTTTACATATTTTATTCTTAATATATTTTTATTTAAATATATTTATAATGTTATATTTCTTTATTGTACATCGTTTAATACTAACGTTTCCGGGTGAATCGCGTACACGTTATATACACGGGTTGAGTTTATACAGCAAAGGCTATGTAGGCATTCGATATGCATGACGTTCCTGCATCAGTATTATTACATTGTCCACAAACGTACATTTCGGTTGCCACGGAAATGAACTACAGTATAATATGTACACAAGGAAAAACAATACCACACACGTGTGCCTATGTTTTTTATAATACACATATATATGCAGTGCGCGATCGTGTGTTTAATTTTTTCC